AAAACATACTATAGCATGATACTATTAAAGCTTAAATTTATATACAATTTTAGTTTATATAGTTTTGCAAAAAACATCTTAATTTTCCTATACAGTAAAATCATTACTTACGTATCATAATACAATTCTGTAGTTAAATTAAATATTTAAAACATCATTATAATTCATCGTGTTATTTTAATCAGAAATTAGATTATAAATCAGTTATTTAAGACAGATATCTGGTTTTTGTTAATAAATACTCCACGTTCTTTAATGTATTCTTGTGCTCACTATGATAGTATTTATACAAATAGAATGCCATAAATATTATATTACCCACTTATCCGGTGAAATGATATTCAACATGCATGAAACATGGTGTACTGATAGGCTAAAAATAGTATTATGTAGAGCTTAGGAATGAATAAAATGTTGGAGGTTGTATGGTAAAGCTTAAGCTGTTAGTTGTTTAGTTTACATTAAGATGTTTCCTCTTTGGTGTAATTGAGCCTGTTTCACATGCACTGTTTCTTTATAGCATCTTTCAGAACAGATTTCTTGGTTATTTCTTTTGCAACCCGTGTGACAAGAGCAAACATACATATTTTCGTTAACTTATATTTCATTCACTAAGAAGTTCTCTTTTGTTTATATTTCTAGAATATTTCTTTAAGTATTTATGGGATGAAACTAAAATATTTTAACCTTTTCATATTACCCAAATTTTATATAACGAGAATATCTTATTTTGTGATACTTATTCAGATAAATCTAAATAATTTACAATTATAAAAATTGTGTTTCTTTTAAAGAATAGAATATGAAAAAGGTGTAAAATACTGAAAGCCATGTATGCTTATTTTTTAATATACATTAATTATGTCTATTTATCGAGAAACATATGTTTTATTTATTTATATCTCAAATTTTCACAGTTTTTATTATAATCATAAAATGCAACACGCCTAATATTGATTTTTATAGTATATATAATAATTATAAATAAAAGTATTCAATACTTTCATAAACAACATTTGATAAAACTATTGTTTATGAAATTTAAATTAAACGTATTAGAAATATTTAAGGAAATTTAAACATAAACATTTCTAATTAATGTTAATATTTCAAATAAAAAAATACAAAATTTAAAAAGAACTTCAAGTATACAACCATAAGTTTTATACTTACTAAGACTAATATTATTCTATATGAAATTTACTCATTATATGTATTTAAAATAAAATATATATAATGAATAATATTGGAAAATGGGATGGAGTGGTGAATTTAAACTAAGTGTTTTGATTATAGCTTCATAGTTAAATACTNATTTGATAAAACTATTGTTTATGAAATTTAAATTAAACGTATTAGAAATATTTAAGGAAATTTAAACATAAACATTTCTAATTAATGTTAATATTTCAAATAAAAAAATACAAAATTTAAAAAGAACTTCAAGTATACAACCATAAGTTTTATACTTACTAAGACTAATATTATTCTATATGAAATTTACTCATTATATGTATTTAAAATAAAATATATATAATGAATAATATTGGAAAATGGGATGGAGTGGTGAATTTAAACTAAGTGTTTTGATTATAGCTTCATAGTTAAATACTGTGGTTGTAGCTTTGTAGAATAGAGAATATGTTTTTGGTATGTGTTAATGATATCACATGTTTGTTAAATATGCTCATAATCTTCTACACTTGATTTATTAACTATAGTATTGTGTTTGGTAGTATTTAAAGACAATACTTATTATTTTACGTATGTATGTATATTAATGTTTGTTTCTTTGATTTATTAAAAGTACATAATCGTATGCCTTTTTGTAAAACGTTTGCTATAATACTCAAAATTTACGTAAAAGAATTCTATATTTATACAAATAAGAACAATCAACATGTGTATTTAATTTATATTTTGTTGTTTCAAGAGATCAAACGCAATACTTCATTATGTTAATTATTGGAACAATAGACCGATTTTTGCTTAACTAATATTTTGAAACCAATAATTTATATTTTATTATTGTATTTGACTGGGTTTGATCATATATTTTGACTTCTATTAACTGGTTTGTTTAATGTTATGTAATTTGGTTAATTGTTACTGACAATTTTTCGAGAAAATAGTGCATTATAATGTAAAATATTTATTTTTAACTTGTTGTTTGTTTGTTTGTAAACTAAATATACAAGACATATCTTGATTTATATAGTAGAGTTATTTAATACTGAATTGTTTCAATTGCTTGGTATATGATTTATACTGTTTAAAAATTTTATATTTATGTTGTCTAGTTATAGTATGAAAGTTTGTATTAAAAATATTTTAATATTATTATAGAAATGGTCTTTATTAAAGACATAAAGTTCTTTAAATTGCCCCAAATATTTAATTTTACAACTTATCAATATAATATTTTGATTTTTTAAATATTTTATCGCGAAATATTTATATAAAACATTTTTTAATTAAGTGACACTAGTTTGCATAAAGTTTTTATGTTTTCATAAAGTCTTAATATGGAGAAATAATAAAGACATAAAAGAATCAATAACCATAAGGATGTAGTAGGAAGGCAGCCAACATTGAATAAAGTTCTATCTCCACTATCGGCATACGTCACTGGTATAGCATAACTAATGTAAAAATAGATTTATTAAAATATTTTTCTTTCTAAATATGGGATTTTATATGTCTTTTTATGTACAGGGGTAGTTTTAACATGCATGCTTATTGTAATATTTTAAATTTTATTATGTATCCTCCTTATTTAATAGGTGCTATAGATAAATCATCTGTTTTTGTTTTAAGTTGTTAAACTTTGATAATTTATTTTGAAACTACAATTTCAGTGTTTTGTTTTATGGTCATGGGAATATGCAAACTTAAATATGATTTACTTGATTGTATAAATAAGATTGTTTATTATTGAAGAATAAAATTGTTGTTAGTTATGTTTCACGATTTTAAGGTTACAAATGGTGCTCTGTACGGTAATATTTTATTCTCTTAACTGTATGTAAGTGCTTGTTTACATCCTGACGCAATTTTACATAAATTATCAAATCAGGCAAAAATAGTTTCTGTTGTAAAAGTGCATAATATTTTGTTCGTATAGAAAATAGAGAGAGAAATAGTACTAGATAGTCTATCATATTACTATTTTAAGTACGTATAGCTGTTTCCAGCACATTACAGCCTTATAAATCTTATTGACGGGTTGCATTCTTATCTCTCCGATGCTCTACAAATATGCTTTTATGTATACAAATATCTATATATTTATTGTCGTACGGTGGCTTATCATGCGCTTGGTACAGACACGTTTGTGATAATTCACTATTTTGTATATAAAACACTACAAAAACCAATTTCTATTACTCTTTGCACACATTACGTTCATAAGAAGCATATTTACCTGAAAACAAAGAGACAGCCATGTTCCTGTTTTTACACACCATCATCACCATTCACATATAAAGAACTATGAGAATGTCACAGTTATCCTGCTTGCTACAAACTCAAAAATATCGTATTGAATACTTCCGCAATCAACCACACCACAATATTACTTGATTTGTTGGGTTGAAGCAACTGATTGTTCATATTATCACTAAAAATGCCACTTTCACCAATAATATGAGTTTCTTTTGCCATCTTATAGTTCATTGTTCTCTCTATATCCCATGTCACTCTTGATGTATAAATTTTACCCTAGTAAAACTATTGTTACTAAGGTTCTTTGTCCTTTCTACCACACTAACAACTCATTTTGTCATCCTCAAATGTGTCATGTTTGCTCATTTGTATTATACCCCTTTCTTGTTACTTCAATCATTTCCTACTTTTTGCTAATAGTACGTGTACTGTCTATTGACGACTCCGGTTTCATTCTTATGGTTCTCAAAATATTGCTTCCCTCACAGTCAATGTTTGATAGGAGTGACACTTTTAGTGATGTTACGAATAGTCACTATTTATATTCAACAGATAGTATGGTGAGCAATATTGAGGCATAGTCACCAACTGAACTTGACATGAGATATATCAATTAACGACTATTTAAAAAAATTTCACTAATTACCCTCGTAATATGATGTTAGTTGTTTGGTCATGGATGATTCATTTGCTTGGTGTAAAGTGTGATGAAGATGCAAATTACCAGAAACTCAAGGCTGAATACGATAAGTTAAAAACTGTTGATATAATGAGTCCCTCAAAGAAATATCGTGATAAATTGGTAATATTCCCTGATGTCAACTGGAATGCCAAAATTGATAAAATTGAGTTGACAGAGATAAATAGTACTGATAATACTATAAAAACGGTTGATGAGTTAATAACAAATGCTTCTCTGATAGACATAATAAAAAATAGAGCTATCGAGTTTCTGACAACTAGCTCGTATCAAGAGAACTCAAGCAAGGATGACATCGTGAAGTTCTTTAGTACTGACAGTTGTACTGTAGAGGAATTCGAGGCAGCAATAAAGCAACTAAAGGCATGGATAAAAGGAATAGAAGAAGAAAGTGTAATAGTACGATTTATACGGGAAGAAGCAGCAAAGGCAACAATCAGATTGGGAAAGGATTGCAAGTTAACAGCAGAAAAAAAGAAGAAAAAACTGAAAAAACATTTCCGGCAACTACCGTATTTAAAGAGATTTCATGATGGAATTGGTAACGGTGATGCCACTACTTATATGTATATGACATTTACAACTGGGAACAAAACGATGAAGTCGGAGATAATAACAATAACAAAAAAGAAAGGGAAAATACAAACAATACATGACCTGGAAGAGTATGAGATGAAAATAACACCAAAGAAAAAAACATCAAAGAAGAAAGAAACATCAAAGAAGAAAGAAACACCAAAGAAAGAAATATCAAAAAAGAAAGAAACATCAAAGAAGACCAAAATATTAGTGGCTATCATATTGGTTGTTGTGGGTGTAGCGATATTATCAATAGGAACATTAATATTAATAAAGAAAAGGAAAAACACAGAAGAAACATTGGACCTTTGAATAATGTGAGAAAGAAATAATTAGGGTAATAAAGAATTGTTATTGCTCTTCATATTGATCCTAAGTTAAAAGAAGTGTTTAATCAAAATTAAGGGTTTCTAAGCGTGGCTAAATTAGTCATTTTGGCCAATTGGCCTATTTTTCTTAAGTATTTCTATTGGAAAAAGTGTCCTGTGAATCATTTTAATCCCTAATTTTAGGTTTGAA